GTATTGTTCTGGCTGAATCACCCCAGGCAGTCATTTTATCTTCAGGAGTCTGTTGTCTCCTCTACAAAATACCACCAATACCTAATACAGAAGCTATGGTTAGGTGCGTGCTTCCAGTTATTTCCAGCCTCCTTTCCTTTCATAAATTATTCCAGTTGCTGAGGCCAGTTGTATTTTAGTGGCCAGTTCTGTTTTAATATTTTTTGCAAATACTTTGACAATGCATATACATGCATATATGTATATATGTGTAAAATTTTGAAATTGTCAGCATCTTAAAAAACAATATAATTAAATTAAATATATAGTATTTTCCTAATACTGTTTTTTTTAAAGCATATTAAATTTTTATATGGAGCTACAGAGTTCTTTCATGAAATAGCTTAGATCTCTTTTTCTTTTCTTCTTTGGTAAATATAGTGCTAAGTATAATATTAATTTATAAAACAATAAAATAATTTCAAAAATTAATACACCAAAATCAGTAAACTTGGAGTATCAAAGACACAGTGCCGTGATCATCTAGAAGAATTGCTGTTTGCTGGGTGGGAAGTGTCTTATTTAGGCTTTCGTTGCTCTGATAGAACACCATGACGAAAAGCAGCTTAGGGAGGAAAAGGTGTATTTCACCTTCCAGTTATAGCCTATTATCCAGGGACCTCAGGGCAGGAACCAAGACAGAGGCCATGGAGGAAAGCTGCTTACTGGCCTGCTCCCCAATGCTTGCTCAACCTGCTTTCTTATGGTATCCAACACCACCAGAAGCCCAGGGGTGCACCACCCACGATGGACTGGGCCCACCCACATTTATAAGTTAAGAAAATGTGCCAAGCCTTATCCACAGAGCAATCCAGTGGGGGCATTTTCTCAGTTTGAGGTTCCTCCTTACCAGCTGATCCCAGCTTGTGTCACGTTGACATAAACCAGCTGCGCAGCAGTAAATGCCACGGTACCGTCACTGTCCTTTTTGTCTGAGGAAGAACTTTGGAGGGAGCTCATTAGTGTATATAGCACACAGCTGGCTCTGAGCTCACAGGTCTTCCAGAATCACCATCCAAGTGTCCACACTGGAAACTGGAGTCAGGAAGAAAGACAGTATTACAAGCTGCTCAATCATTTATGACCCAAAACCTTTAAGAATTCTTATGTTTTTGCTGAACTCTCAAGCAGAACTCAGGAAAGAAACAGAGACTCCTATGTCCTTTAAAAAATGTTTTCTTTGGGTTGGTCCGAGAGTAGTGGTGTTTACAACTAATTGATCACAACCAGTTACAGATTTCTTTGTTCCTTCTCCACTCCCACTGCTTCACTTGACCAGCCTTAAAAAAAAAATTTAAAAAAAAAATGTTTTCTTTGAAAGTAAAATATCTTAAATTCTAAGAGATCTTCAATTACTCTTTAACTACATAGACATGGAGCAAATTCTTTTAGAATATTACCTGGTTTTCCTTTTAGATGTTTTCTTCATGGAATTATCCTCAAACCCCAGTTTGCTTTCATGATTCCTAAGGGACACTGCAGCCTACCATGGTTTCCTTTCCTACATCATGTCTCCAGAAGAAATGTTTCAACTGATTACAGTCCTGTACAGTTCTTGATGGCACTTTACCACAGCCAGAGCTGATCAACTACTGATGGAATGGGAAGCCAGGGGCGGGGGCTCCCTCTGACTCAGTATCTCAAACCTGTAAACACTCTTGCCCTGTACCAATCTTTGGAAGGAAAAGATTGACATGAAATATCCTTCACAATTTATGAAGTAAATTAAAATAGATTTAATCTTTACGAGGCATCTCTAGAGCATAAAATTTACTGGATTTAATTGCTGGTTATGTACTCAGCAAATTGGTTAATTACCTTAGGCACTTGCTTGATGCCTATCAGTTTGGGTTCTTGTGTCAGTTATGACCATCTTTGGCTCATAATTGAACCTTCATTCAGAATATCTAAGTAACAAGGGTGTTCGCTTAAACTGTAACTGCAGGGAGGTCCATGGGGAGACATCTATATTCTGATGTTCAGAAGTCATACGTGCCAGTCATGTGTTTATCATAACCACAACAGGCATTGCTGTGCAGGAATAGCCTGTAAGTGTGAATATTGCTATTGAGCACTACAGAGGGAAGGGGAACAATGGGAAAAAAATTTAAGTATATTTCTAAGGTCACTCCTACTAGACCTGCTGGAATGGCTAAAACAACATTAGGATGTTAAAGAAACTGATAAGCCAAGGTGCTAGTGATGATTAAAGAGTAATGGGAACTCTTATGCATTACTGGTGTCAATGTCAAATGCACAGCCACTTAGGAGATCAGCTTTGGAATTTCTTAAAAAGGTCAACACAAATTTATGGTATGATCAGTATTTAAAGTATAGGTCTCGTCATACTTTCATTAAACACACGCAGATACAAGTAAACTCAGACTTGAACACAGGGTTTACAAAAGTTTTATTGATCATGTTCCCAAACTGGAAACACCGAAATATCTACCAATAGAAAATGGATGAACAATATAATGTATGTGTCAGGGGGAGGGAAGACTTGTAATGGGAGTGAACTACTGCTTAGCAACCAAGCAGAATGAGCTACTAGAACATACAATAAAGTGGATGAATCTGTACACAGGCTGCCAAGCAAACTAAGGTGGATTCAAGCAGGGTATTCCGTGTATGATTCCATTTCTAGAACAGCACCAAATGAACCCACCATAGAGAACGCAGAGGAGTGGTTGTCAAGGCAGAGAGTTGAAAGTGGAGATTGCTTACAAGAGAAAACTTTGGGGAATGATAACGTTTCTTTTCTTGATTGTACTGATGGTTCCACATCTGTATCCGCTTGACAGACTCCTCAGACTACGTTTGAAATGGGTGTGTTTTATTCTGTGAAAATTATGTATCAAAAAAATGTTGACTGGAAAATGAACAGAGGAGGACAGGAAAAGACTGGAATTGAAGACCAGTGGGAGACTGGTCTGTTCTGTGGGAGCTGCCACCAAAGTTTACAGCCTGCTCTCATTTGGCTCCCAGGCTGCCACACTATTAAAAATAGAAAGAAAGAAAGAAAGAAAGAAAGAAAGAAAGAAAGAAAGAAAGAAAGAAAGAAAGAAAAAGAGAGGAGAAGAAAACCCTTGTCATGTATTTTTAGTGTGAACCAAATATCACCTCCAATTAACATGGTAGCTGCTCCTGAGGTTAACCTTCCACTTCATTAGGGCCCTGAATCCCTGAGACATCTTTACAGTGGGCAACACAGGATGAGGGCAAGATTCCTCTTGGTCCCTACTGGACCCTCTCCCCTTTTCCCCTTGCTGTCCTGAGTCTTCTCATCCAGGATTCTTGCAATCTCAGAGTCACATCCCCTTGAGGGCCCTTAAAGGAAAAATAAGTAAACAGACATAGAGACAACCTTCCTTAGCAAACACAAAGTTCAAAAACTTTTCAAAAGTCATTGAGTCCTTCCTTGTGTCAGTGTGCTCACCTGCTGAAGCCCCAGGACCAGACTGCACATGCCCAGAGACCTGTTGGTCCACGCCAGGAGGATGGACCTAAAACATCTCAGCATTGACTTCCTTGTTTATACAGAAGCAACAATAGTGTGAGAATTCAGTTAGACAGTGCATGAGCACCCTTAACTCAGTGGCTGGCACAGAGTGAGAAAGCCACTGAAGGCTAGAGAGATGGTTCAGGTTACAATCACTTGCTCTATGAGGGAGGCTGGAGTTTGTAATCCAGCGCCTACGTCAGTTCACTAACAAATGCCTGTAGCTTCCACTCCAAAGGATCTGACACCTCCGTGGGCACCTGCATGCACATGTGCAAGACTCTCACACAGAAACACACACACACACACACACACACACACACACACACACTGAAAGATTTACTTATTCCAATGAGAGATTGATGTCTTTGGCATGGGGAGTGACATGTAAACCAATACTCACTTTTGCTGATCAGAGGGCAACTCCCCGGAGTCATTTCTGTCCTTCCATCATATGGTCCCAAGGGATAGACCACACAGAGGTGGGAGCAGTCTGAATGTAAGATCAATATCCTCACCATGGCAAGGTCTGTATTGTAGTTTAGTTAAACTCTGGAGTGCAGCTCTGAAATTCACATCCTAGCCTTATCTTTAAAATGTCTTCCTTCAGGGAAAGTTATTGAAATCCCAAGTGCGTGCGCACACACACACACACACACACACACACACACACACACACACAAATAATATTTTTTTAAAAGAAAAATGTCAAGCCTGGTATGGTGGTACACACCTTTAATCCCCAACACTTGGGATGCTGAGGCTGGCAGATCCCTGAGCCCTGAGTTCAAGGCCAGCCTGGTCTACCGAGTAAGTTCCAGGGTACCCGTGGCAACAAAAAGGACCCCTTTCTAGATTCCCCACCCCCAAAAAAGTAGCAACGGAGAACTGCAGATATTATGGAATATTCTGTACTGACTGCTCAAATTCTCAGATTTCTAGAGGACATCAGAAAGCATGCTAACAGCTCTGTATAAGCCACATAACAACCTAGATCTGGGAAAGCAGAGCTGCCAGCCTAAACTGGAACATCCCCAAAACTACCAGTTCTGTGAAGGATGAAGGCCCAACTTTAAGTCTGAGCTTTGCATTTGAATTGATTGTGTTGTTTTATCCTACACACGACTGAGAAGCCTCTGGTGTGCAGTAATTGTCTAAAACAGGCAGAAAAGAGTCCAGCCACACACTATGACTGAAAATGTCAAAAATTGGATGTTCTGGCAAGCCAAATAGGGAATTAATAATATATTTAGAATTTCTAATAAAGTGCCTGTCAAGCAAACAACAACGTATTATATACACAAAAAATAAATCCTACCTGGGTATGGTGCCCTTCCCAAGCAGTATGTACACTGTATTTGAGAAAATAGACCGATTCCACCCCAGACGAAACGTCTGTTCTCTAGCATTTCCCATAACGTTCCATTCATTTGTGTATTTTTTTACATCCTTTATGTAGCTTCACCAATCTTCCCAGTCATCAGTGGGTCAAGCAGGCACTCAAGGGAACCTTCTGCACCTGGCTCATGGCCAAGCATCCACATCTCAAAGTCCCGTGCGACAAGCTTCTTCCTCCTCCTCCTCATCCTCCTCTTCTTCAGCTTTGAGCGTGGGCCAGTTAGTCAGCAGTAAGTATCCGTCCTGGCTCCATCTAATCATGGTAACCTTCTGGCTGCCTAATGCAATCTCCTCTCTCTCCTTTTCCTTTTCCCTTTCCTTCTCCCTCTCCCTCTCTTCCCCCCTCTCCCTCTCACCCTCTCTTTCTTTCCTTCCTCATTTCTAGGGCTGCTAGGCCATTGTTGGCATAAAGTCTGTATCCAATGCCAAACGACTCCTTAGGGCAGCTGGCCCCCACACCACACCCCTGCATTAGAGCAAGCTGGGATCAGGTTCAATTTTCAGCGGGTTTTGGTGTGCTAAGTCAAACCTGTCACTTCCAAAGCTAGACACTGATCAGCTTGCAGGACGTGAACAAACAGCTCAGAGCTGAAATAACCAACAACAGACACTCAGCTGGAGGGTCAAGCTGCTTTCCTGTGTGTTTGAAGTCCCCTGCCATTCTGTCTGTAGGTGTCAGAGGAAATAAAGGAGAGCATGCCTGCGGGCGGGTGAGTGAGTGAACACTGAGCCACCTTCAGTGACACAAGGAGGACACTGCACAGGCTGGAATCAGATGGAAGTCTCCAAACAGCCATTCACAAAATAAAACAAGCCTGAAGGCTGCCTCCATAGGAAGATGGTTATGAAAGTCTATATATGGTGTTGTGGAGTTGGCATATGTCTCTAGGGAAGCCAGCATATTTGTCACATATAAACAGAAGCATATGAAGATGCATGAAACAATAAGCTTGTTAAATATCATTATTTTTAACCTCTGTATACCTTTTACTAAATCTTCAAATAAAATCAGATGATAGGTGATAGATAGATAGATAGATAGATAGATAGATAGATAGATAGATAGAT